TGCATAGAGTTCTCCTATTATGAAAAGAGGGCTCTTGCATATTTGATAGCTTTGTCTTTCTTTTGGCTAGCGGCATAGTTTCCTTTTACCTAGAAGAGCAACTTCATTTCCGTGGAATCAGCATAGTTACAAAGAGGTTTATTTTAACAAGAGGTCTGTGAATTGGATGACTATTTACATTTTACAACTTCTTAAGCGTTTTTAGTGTGATGACACTGAACCAGGTTGCATCAGTTCAGTGCCTCTTGACTCATGCTCATCTCTGTTAAGTCTGTCTGAAGATGGGGGTAGATGTTTTAGTTCAGTTTGTTCATTACCATAAAAACAGGCAGGCTGCAAGTTACAACTGGATCCACTTACTCAACAGCAGGACTTTCCTTGTAACTCCTTTGTTCCTGTAACTGATGGCATTTACTTTGGGAAAAGAAAGTGCCAGCTATCCAAAGGTGATAGTCAAAGGGAATCCATCACTGGAAAAACAAAAACAAAACAAAAAAAAGTGATCTTTTTATTATATTTGGAAGATGGATTTCTTTTCTTTTTCTGCAATTTCTACCCAGCATCTCACCACATTTATTTTCATTTATAAATTCAAATCCTATGGAATATAGTGAAAAGACAGTGCTCCATTGGTCCACCAGCAACGCACTTTTTTTTTTTTTCGTTTTTGTTTTAATTTTAATTCTGTTCTTGTCCTGACTACCCCATCCCTCCACCTAGAAAGTACCTTGTGAGACACAGCGCTGTTGCTTGATATGTCAGCCCTTTTTCCCTGTGGAAAGAGTCATGTAAAATCATCATGTGATGCCTGCTACAATCAGAAGGAGCAAGGGAAAGACCGGGGCAGAAGCTGCCTTTACAAATAGGAAATAATACCCCATGGTCATATGACATAATCCTGGAATTAGTGACCCATCAAGTACAAGTCCCTGTAGCAGCTGCATTTTAGTCTGACAAATGGCAATGTATAAAAACTCTGAATGTTTTCTTGAACAAATCTAGTCAGAATATAGTTTGTCCTGCCTAGATATATTTGTTTGAATGCCTTTTTAAAGGCTTTTTCAAGGCAAGGTTGGATGGAGCTCTGAGCAACCTAGTCTAGTGAAAGGTGTCCCTGCTCATGGCTGAGGTTGGAACAAGGTGACCTTTAAGGTCCCTTCAAACCCAAACCATTCTGTGATTCTCTCATTAAAATGTACATCATTGGCTTAAAGACATGTGTAGGGTATTTCTGGAATACTCTGTAATTTCAGAAATACAAGAAAAGGCTACAAGAAATACAATAAGCCTACAAGAACCCTTATAGTACTACGGCTGATTATAATACATCAAAGCATTGGGCTGGATTTTTAAATCCCTGGATGCTAAAATCTCACCTGTAATACAGTTTGGTTCTTTTAAGGCAGGTATTGTTTTTCAAAGGGTATCTGGGAAGGCTCACTCCTTTTTAAAATTTTTTTAAATATATGTATATATAACTACCACTAAAAATTATGCAAAGATAAAATAATAATCAAGTCAGGCTCTTTGTAATAAAACACAGAAATGCTGATGTCAGTCCTGTACCTTCCCATGACACATCTACTTTATGGTATAGCTCAGTATTTAACTGTGGTTAAAACTGCTTCAGTCAGGGTTCACATTTAAGTGTTTTAATGTTTGTTTTTCCCAGTCATGAAGAAAAACTCAAATGGTTTCTTGTTTAAAGTGAGGGGATTTTTGTTGAGTGGGTGTTTTCCAGAATTCCTCATAAAATTAGTTTCTCTTTGAATCTGAGAGAAAGGCTTATAATCTATTTGCACAGCTTTTCCTGGGGAGAATTTTGAGTGAGTATAGGTAAAAAAAAAAGTTACTTTTCTTCTCTAACGGAGAGTTAACATCAGATTTGGCCTGTATCAGTTTTTTACCTGAGACATCTGTCAGTGTTTCCAATGTGCATACTTTCCACTTGATCTAGATCTTCTGTCCTCACACACTTTCCTGTGCTGCAGCCATGCTCAAGCTGAACTCAAGGCCCTCTCCCTAAGACCCCTCACTTAGCTTCTAAAGAAGCTTTAAATACAAGAAAAACCTCAATCTAAGGCATTTTAGCCTTGTAGCACATCTTGGTTTGTTATGTGTGTCTGCACTGACACGGGGCAACTTGACTGAGATGTTTGCAGTCTGTTTCTGCAATAGAGGTGCTATAAATAAATAAAACCCATCTTGCCAAATTGCCTAATGGAACACATTTTTCTGTGGGGTGGTGGGGTTTTGTAAGAATTCTTCATTTGTTGTTCAGGCCTTCAGAAATGACGATGCTGGCTTCTGAAGTCATGACATCTGGCACATAAACTCCATTTGGCACATAATTATCTTTGTGGTCATGTTCGTTTGCTTTCCGCTTTGGAGATTTGGGGTTTCTGTGTGCCAGCTTCTGGTTGTATCTGAAAGCATAGAGATTTCTAATATTATCCTCAATTTAGAGCTGAATCAGGGCTTTTTAATACTGTAAAAAAAATATTTTTGTCCCCTAAACACCAAGGGAGATGCTGTCCTGGACACTGATCTTTTTTGGCAGCCGAAGAGTGCATAGGGAAAAGGCAGAGAGGAGCTGTTTTGGCAGCCTGTGCTGGTTGTTCTGCTGGCTGCCCTCTTCTCCAGAGCAGTCAGCATAGACCATGGGCAGGTGGCACCAGTAACCAATACTTGGCTTTCTTTTTATTGTATTTTTTATTCTTATTATTCAGCCCAGACTTCAAGGAGCTAGTTTCCTTAACAGCTGAAACAAAACCAGGTTGTTGATAGTGCAGAATGGCTGCTTACTCCCTTTTACAACACAGCCTTTCCTTCTACTTCTTGCCTGTTGTTTTAAACTTAAAAGGGAGATTTGCATCCTAGAGACCTTTATAGTACCTAGGACACCTTTATAGTACCTAGGACACCTTTATAGTACCTAGGACAAAGGATTCTGCTTTACACTATGGAACTGCTGCACCAGCTTTCATTTTTGCCATGCATACATAGTGCTGTACAAGTATCCAACAGAAAAGTATGAAATACCACTCTGCAACTATCCCCAAGTTTAACATTGTTTAAAAGCTGTGTTTGGCAAGTAGAGCTGAGACATTTCTTTGTATCCAAGAGTAGCTGGACAAGTAGAGGGCAGAAGCCAAATCTGTCTTTCCAGGCTACGTAACCCTGGGTGTGGTTAAAAGATGAATTAACCGCTTTTAAATCCCTGCTGGTGCCAAAAAGGACATCATTCCCAGCCTTGTGTTGCTGTCTTCTCCCCAGCAGGTTAGCACTGCTCCCCTCCCCATGCAGCCAGCTGGGTTGGAACCTCATCCTGCTGAGTACTTTTTTAGGAGGGTTCATCCTTAGGTGGTTCATGATGTGGCCAGGGGAGTATTGCCAAGAGAGACACGGACAGCAGGAATGAACCCTGGGACAGGAGAAAATGGGAACTGCTGCCCCTTTGGGTGGCAGCTTCATCTGAAACTCACCCAGCCACGCCTTTGAGCAAAACTGTCTGTGGGTGGATATTCATAATTAAAGACAAGGAAAAGAAAAAATGAGTGTGCCAAAGATAGTTCCCTATTTGGAAAGCATCCTGATCTGGGTTTGTTTTTCTGTACCATTAAAAGGTGACATGCAGGTCTCCAAGCTACATTTTAGTCTGTGCAAGGATGAGAGTATAAAGGTTGACTGTACATGAATCTGTGCATGTGTGCTGACCATCAGCAATGATTTATGTTCAATGTACATGAATCTGTGCACATGTGCTGACCATCAGCAATGATTTATGTTCAATGTACATGAATCTGTGCACATGTGCTGACCCTCCAAGCCTTTAGCACCAGCCCAGGAAGAGATGGAGGGGAGATGACAGAGGGAGGTGGAGGTTTTAGTCACCTTTGATGACATTAGAAAAAACCACAATAGTTCTCTGTGTTGCAATGTGCTTGGCATTGGTTTCTTTGTAGTTCTAATCTGAGAGCAAAAATAGTCCAGATACTTGCTTGTTTTGGCTGACTTGGCAGATTAAAATCTCTTTTGTCTTTTCCATGGGACTTTCCTAAAGGAAGTAACACAATCTCTGCAGACAAAGCATTCTTTACAAGGTGTAAAACAAGCAGGGAAATTCTGGTTCAAGTGGCCATAGTCACTGATTCATAGCAGGGCTGGGTTAGGGGATTCCCTGGCACTCTGCAAGTGATGTGTGGCTGTTGCCTCATCAATTCCTGTAGTTTTAGGCACTCTAAACCATCTAGTTAGGGAACTTTAAGCAAAGGTATGTTTTCCAAAGTGTTACATCGATTTTCTCATTATGCTGGCAAAGTTTCCCTCATTTTGCCAGTGAAAGTACGCAAGAAACACCAAACAATTCTATGACTTTTAGCATTCACGCCTGCAGAAATACTGCGTGTTTCTACCAGCCAGCATCGTGGAACAGACACCAGTGCCAATTACTCAGCCTTTACCTTGCTCTCTTTCCCCATATCCTTTAAGTTTGCAAATTGCCTGCTTTGTGCATTGCAGTGACACTCAGAATAGAGATGTTACCACTTGCTGGAATTGGGAGAAGGATCTCATTCCTGATTCTAGCCAAAGCTCACATGATTTAATCGAGGCAATATTTTTTTTAGAAGCATCAGTCCTAACGGGGCTTTGGCTCTGCTTCTTGAGCAGTGCTGTAATCTGCTTGGAAGTCAAATATCTCAGCTATGAGGTATTTACTGTGTGGCTGTCAAACATGCTATAAACTTCGAGCTCTTACAACTAATCAGCATTGTACCAATGCCCTGTGTGCAAAAATAGCAGCTTTGGGCCCTTGATGTAAAAAAATACTAATAAATCATTTTTAAACCTGGTTCCATCAAAGTGTGATATTCTCCAATGTTGCTGTTCCTGGTTTTCTCTGTATGCATCAAAACCAATGGCTTAGTGTGGGGTTTTTTTTTTTTCATTTTTACTGTACAGGTTCCTGTGAAATTATACTTTTTTTTTTTTCTTTGTAGGTAACAGAGACTTTGCTCCTGATGATCCGCTGGAATTTAAGTCTCATCAGTGGTTTGGAGCCTCTGTAAGATCCCAAAATGATAAAATTCTGGTAGGTCTTTGATGCCCTTCAGATGCATCAGTACTGAGATATTGCAGTGGGAGAAAATGTGAAGAGATCCAGATAACTTAGAATTTAAACAAAATCCCACTAATCAGAATGAATTGTCTTTTCTTCAGAATTTCTTAGCTAGGCTTTGCTTAACTCCTTATAAACAAAGCTAGGAGCATTTTTTATAGTTTTAAGGACAGTAGTAAAATTAGTTTGATGAAGTTAGAATGTGTTATAAATTCTTGATAAACACTTCACAGCTGTTGCTTTAAGAAAATATTATTTCTAAAATTCTTGATATGAATTAGCTATTTATAAAATACAAACTAATGGTGATTCTGCCCCACTGCTGATAGTCTAAATATCCTCTAATAACATGAGATACATCTGCTAGTTTTGGGGGGTTTTTTGTTGCTTTTCAGTGGAAAATTGGAATTTCATTGTATTGTTTGATACCCACCAGTATTTTGAAGAGGAGTTTGTTTCCTCACTGTCGTGTGTTCTTCCCTAGGCCTGTGCCCCGCTGTACCACTGGAGAACTGAAACAAAGCAAGAGAGAGAGCCTGTAGGAACTTGTTACCTGCTTGCTGGGTCAAAATTTGTGGAATATGCTCCCTGCAGGTCAAGTGAGTATAGGGCTCTTAGGCTGCTTTTCTCTTTGGAATTCCTCTTGTGTCACATTTTGTGTACATTTTGGAGCAGGATGTTTTACAGCTATTTCTCCCTTCCATGTATAGCAACTAGAACAAAACTTAAAAACTAGATCCAGACATCTGTATTCTCCTCCAGTTGAGGTCCAGGATGCAGACCTTGTTTTCACCACTGTAGGCCAAAGGAAAATCTTAGGTCCAAGTATCATTGGGCTTGAGGGCTTCTGTTGTTGAAGAGACCAAGTCTGTAGTAATCACTCAAGCAAAATTGTGTAGCGAGTGCTTTTTCAAAAAAACAACTCTGGAATTCTCATGAATCTCAAGTATTTTATCATTATTCAAGTACATCAAGGTGCAAGCTCGTTTTAGAAGACAAGGTTTTGCGAAAATAAGTTCTGATGTCCCTGTGTGTATACATGCGTGGTGATGCATTGTTTAAATTATCTTAACTATGGAATATTTGGAGTCTTATTTTCCAATGCTTTGCATTTATTTCCTCTATTTGGTCTTGATTATTTAGAAGTTTATAACCTAAAACTTGGATGTTGAAGTTAGGACTGACTTTTTATTGAAAATCATTTGTCAACAGCAGGAATAAAATCCAGCCTGGTCCAGCATAACAAGAATTTAAATAAGTAAGCATTAAATTAAATCATGCTAGTTACAGAGTCACACTTTCACATAAGGAGCTCCCAGCATTTCTGCTCTGAAGCTGTATAATCCTAAAATTGATTCAGCCATAACAACTCTTGCTGGGATCAGTCTCAGTATGGAGGTATTTTTTCAGCCAGGTATGTTCTTTTTGTTTTAAGCCAATTCAGCTTTCTTTTCCATACCCAAAGAAAAACTTATCCCCTCTTTTCTAGGTATCTTATTTCCTGAATAGAAATTGCAAATATATTTTCCCCAAGACTTTTGAAAGGAATTTGGGACTGCTGTTTGCCTTGAGTGTGCTGGGCTAGAACACATGCCAATGTTACTTGTCTATTTGGCCAGCCCTAAAGTTGTTACAGCATTTGGTTGGGAGTTGTTGATAAAGAGAAAATACTGATTAAGGAGAAAAGTATTCCAAGGTTCAAGTTTAGAAGTGCAAGCTTACGTAGGGAGATGCATTGAAAAGTATCTGCAGTACTGCAGCTGATGGAGTACTGATAATACTTAATTTATTTCTTTTTCTCCTCTTTCTTTTCTGTCCTTTTTTTCTTTGGTAGCAACTATCGATGCAGATGGACAGGGATTTTGTCAAGGTGGATTTAGCATTGACTTCACAAAGGTATGGGATTTTTTTGTCATTTCTGTGGGTCAGCAGACAGCTGAAAGTTTGCAAACCCTCCTGCTACAGAGCACTTAGAATCACAGCTATTATGAAACCAAATGTTACTCTTCCTGGTGGGGAGATAACCCACAACCAAACAAAATTTATAAATAAACCAAAAATATATCTTGAAACCATTTAAAGAAAGAGCTTTTATAAACCTGTTTTTCCTTACATCTTCACAGCAGCTCACTTTCCCCTCTTGTAGGAACCATGTCCTGAACAAATAATCTGCTTTCCCAGCTGCCTGCCATACCCCTCTGCTGCAGCTGGTCCTCTAGTGAATTCAGTGTGATAGTCAGGATTTTTGAGACATGGGATTGGTGCACAGCTATTGTTACTTCTTGAGGAATAACAGCTCAGGGAGGTGGTAAACAATGTGCTTGTGAATCATGTTTGATTTTCTCATCAGCCTGCAGAAGTACAGGGGCTTTTAACTGACTTGTGTTTCTTCTGTGTTTTCCCTGCCTGTTCTACGTTTTTTTTTTTTTTTTTTTAATTCACAATTACTTTTGAAATCCAAGCAAAACTGTGCACAGATCTGAGAAGGTACTATAGGCTTTCATATTGTACAGTGAAATTGTTGGGCAGAGTCAGGACGTGTTAAGACCACGCAAGCCCAGTTTGTGATGTGCTCTTTTTTTGGTTCTCACATCTCAGGATGAGGTCATATCCCATCACTTTGCCCAGGGCTGCTCTTGGTTTTCCTCCAGAGGAAACTGCCAAGTGCAGGAGAGGGCTGTGAGTGTTTGGGTTATTTTGCACACACCCTCAGAGTCACTGTGCAGATTCCAGGCCTGGTTAAAACCAACTTTGGGCTCTAATCCAAAACCTTAGAGTGGGCAAGCCAGGATGTATCTCCAAATGTCTGACCTAGATTTCTCTGAGTGGTGAATATAGGAGTTTTTAGGATTAAAACCTGATTAAGAGGCTTAATTATGCAGCAAAGCCTATGGCCTAATTCAATACTTACAGAGCAAATTCCCAACCCTGGGATAGCTACTGTGGTTAAAGTTTCATAAAATGGTTTGTGAAAGAAAGTTGTGCCAAGAAATATGGAGTGGAGGAATTACACCACAGTTATTCTGAATCAAGCTTTTCTAGTGATAACTTACAGAAAATGGCAGAGGCAGAAGATGACACTATTTTGTGTACTGTCCCCAAAACATGATGTAACACTGAGTTTTCTCCTAATTGTGTTTGTATTGTCATACGTTTATGGGGGAAGAGGGGTCTATTAAAATAAAAACAGAATAATTCTGCCTAGAATTGTAAATGGGTGAAATAGTCACTGGAGGTTTTTGTTAGCATTTTGCAAGATGCATTTCTAATTAATCACTCCTTCAAAAAGGAAAATGTGTGGTTGTCAGCAGAGCTGCAGTGATGTACATGCCTGGGATTTCTTCCCACAAACATAGGATGTGCTGTCTGGCTTTAGATGTGCTTCATGTGTTTTTAATTTTTCCTTCTGTCTTCCTTTCTTTCTTCCCTTCCAAGGGAGACAGGGTGCTGCTTGGAGGACCTGGAAGTTTTTACTGGCAAGGTGAGATATATCATTTAAGTCACAGAGAAGATGGCCTTTATGATTTTTCTCTTTATCCTCTTAGTCATTTTGATCCACAGTCTTCCAGCTGCTGTCAGAGTCTTTGTCAGTAAGAAAACCGACAGAAATGTTCCTTTGTCCTTAAGAATGTCTCCTGAATAATCAAGGCAAGCACAGATAATGGTTGTAGTAATAATAGCATAGATGTCTTTTTTGTTTTAAATAATTCCATGATCCTTACAAAGGCATTTTCCTGGAACCTGGGATTCATTTTCATCAGCAGGAAAAGTTTCCTTTATCTTATTTTGTTTTGCTATGTACATGTTTCATAATTTGACACACAAACAAAGAGTGCATTTTCAATGAGAAATATCCCCTCTAAAGAAAATGTCATTGTTTTTCTCTGATGGCAAAGATGTTTTGCATTTGTCTTAACTGGTTTGTGCTGTGGGGCACATTTTACCTCTACCTGGCACTACCTGTATACTTTGCTCATGTGGGATTCAGGATTATTCAGCTTTTAACTGCAGCTCTCTGTTCAAAGGAGGGTGCTGCTGTAATCAGGACACAGCTGCCAAACTCTGCTGCCTGCCTTTTAATGGAACTTCTAACATTTTTTAATAGATTTTCTGTATCATGCCAGCCTACATGTAGGTGCAGCAGCACAGGAGGCTTGCTCCAATCCTGTTTTAAATTACAAACAAAATTGGATTACTAAAGATAAACTGCAGATGCAGTATCACATAAATTAGTTCCTATATTCATTTTATTGCTTTTTGGCAAAAGTGACACTTCATCTGCCAGAACAACCTCATCCTCTTCTACTACTACCAAAAAAGCCCACTTGGCTCTGAATAGAACACAATAGTATGCTTCTGAGAACAAGATTTTTCATCCTAAAATTTATTCCACATATGCTGAGTTGCTGGAGGAGTTTTCCCTTCATACACACATGAATATGTATGTGAAGTAAGTGCCATTCTGAATAGGGTTTTTTGGTGATCCAAGCTTTAATTTAGACTCGAAGAAAAGAATGTAAAGGAGTCACCACCTAGTGGCTGATGAAATGAAAATGGAGAACATGGCAATGCACCTTGCTCATCTCATTTTTGTTCATTTTATTGGCTTCTTGTCTGCCAAAACAGGCTCTCCTGCTGTGGTATTTGAGCAAGGGGCTCAGTTCTGCTCAGCCATGAGTGTATGATGTCTCAGCCCTGCCTTTTAAGTCCTGCCTTAGTTTGGCCTCTGCAGTGTGTGCCTTTGATTCAATATGTGAACAAGTTTTTGCTGGAGTGGGATCCATATTTTCACTTGTGTCCTTCCTGGAGCTGCTGCAGTTGGCCCCTCTCTGGTCAGTGCTGTGGAAGAGCTGCTGCTTTTGAAGGCAGGGAGTTCTGGTTGTGGTTTTCAGCTCTTTTCTCTCTCTCTTTAGGCCAGCTGATTTCTGATCGAGTGACAGAGATTGTGGCCAAGTATGACTCCAAAGTCTACAGCACCAAGTATGATGACCAGCTAGCAACCAGGCCTGCCAGTGCTGCTTTTGATGACAGCTACTTGGGTACGTGGTGGGAAAGGAGAAAGCTCCACCTGCAACACTCCCTGCTTACATCTAAATCACACAACCAACAATTCCACATCTACATTCCTGAAAATGCACTCATTTGTGGATGATGGAATTGTAGTTATTTGTTGTAGTTATTTTGCCATTAGCTTGATTCAAAAAGCACCCAATGACAAAATAAATGGAAGTATTTTCATGATTTTACATGCTCTGTGATTCAGGCTGAATATGAGAATGGCAAATGTACGATTTTTATATGAAAGGTTAGTCACATACGTAGTTGTTTGTTTGTTATTTAAAAGCAGCTATTTCTAAGTAACCTAGCAAAACAAAATAAAAATGTTAAAGAATTATGATTTAGAAGAAAAACAATGAGGAGTGGGACATAATTTTGCTTCATGTATGTCTAACCAAGCTCAGGAAAAAAGCAAGGACAATTCCCAGGATGATAATTTTAAAATTTTCATCTTCTGATCTTAAATTCCTGGATACTGATGAGTTACAGCCACTCCTGGAGTTTTGCATAGTCTAAGCTGCTTCAAGGCAATATTTATACCAGTGCATTTTAAGATGAAGAGAGGAGGGCTGTGCACAGAGACGCAGTGTAAAGAGAGATGAAAGGTTCAATAACGTTTTTAAAGCCTCCTCTTGTCTCTGCAGGTTATTCAGTGGCTGTTGGAGATTTCAATGGTGATGGCATCGAAGGTAAGCCCCTTGCTCCAGTAAGAACATCATAGGCTGGGCAGATCTTTCAAACCAATAGTACAGTGCACAGGGAAGTGCATCAAGTGCTAGGAACGAGCTGTTCTGTTCAGCAAAGTCACTGTGCCTTGGGATCTGACTGCTATCTGTGTCTTGCTTTATGTTTCAGACTTTGTGTCAGGAGTCCCACGGGCAGCAAGAACTCTGGGCATGGTAAAAAATTTGAAACATTAAACTTTACAATAAATAAAAAAAAAGGTGACTATAGCTGGTATGCTGTAATGTGTATTTCTCCACGTGCAGGTGTCCATTTACAATGGGAAAAACATGTCCTCCATGTACAACTTCACTGGAGAGCAGGTGGGTGGCTCTGCTGAGTGTGGGGGGTGACCAGGAAGCCTTTCCTATGTTGCAACACTATTTAGGGTACTAGATAATAGTCTGTGTATTACTGGCTTGATTGCCAAAGCAACATTTTATGAAGTATGAGGGAATTCTAATCTTATTTCAATAAAGGAAGTGCTGAAGTGCTGCCTGTTTTGAGAGCTGGGAAAGAGACTGGATCATGAATTCAGAAAAGTAATCAATGGGTTTATTTTCTAACAGAGTATGGAAGAGAAACAAAAGAAAACAAACAAATAAAATTTGTGGCATGTATTATCATCTCCCTGATGTATTTTGTGCACAGATTTGTGTAGACTTTTTTGTTTGTATCATTACGACTCATAGGTTTGGTTTGAATTTTTTTTTCCAGATGGCTGCCTATTTTGGGTATTCAGTGGCTGCCACAGATATTGACGGGGACAAGTAAGTGTCCTCTGCTCACCAATACCACCCAACTTGTTTCTAGAAAGAAAAACATAGCTTTTATTAAAATGTCTTTCCCACAATCGAGATTTGTCTTCATTGCTTTTTTAACACATCTGCATGACTCTTTTGCTAACACTCCATATTTGTTTTAACATTTGTAGGTTTTCTTTTGTATTTATCTACATAAATACATGTGTATATTCACATGCTTAAGGTCCATTAAATTTTTGTATATTTGTGCTTACTTGGTCAATAAATATTTGCCTTCAGTGGAATTTAAAGATAGTGAACTGTCATCTCAGTGTTGACTTCAGTGTTGAGCTAACAGGTGCTGAAAAGAATTTTCCTGCTGCTACTGAAGAGCTCTGTCCTTTTTGGTCCAGTTACACAGATCTGTTTATTGGAGCCCCTCTTTTTATGGATCGAAGTTCAGATGGGAAGCTTCAGGAGGTTGGCCAAGTAACCATCTGCCTTCAGCGAGCCTCTGGAGGGTTTCAGACAGCAAAGCTGAACGGCTTTGAGATCTTTGCGAGGTTCGGCAGCTCCATCGCACCCCTGGGGGATCTGGATCAGGATGGCTTCAATGGTAGGATGTTGATTCTTGCTCAGGATCTCAGGTTGTGGAGGGTGATGCCTCAGCAATTTTCAGATTCTGTGCTGCTTTAGTGTGTGGGTCTGGGCTTCATATTAGGGCATCTAATATGAAGCTCTCTTCACAGAGCAGGGAGATAAAACAATTCCTGCTCTAGCTGGGGACCAAGGACAAATGATCCAAATCTCAGGCCCAAGAGCATAAACAATGTGAACTGAAGAGAGAAAAACAAGAAGGATGGGGCTTTATAAGCTAAAGCTGTAACTGGACAATTAGCTCCAATATGCAAATGGACCAAACTTATAAAAGTGAGAGACCTCGTGACCTGCTGTCCATTTTGTGACCATTTTGGGTTCACCTTGGCTGTAGCCCTGGCTGGGCTCTTGCGCTACTCAAGGTGGATCCATTGAGGCATCCTGCTTTATTCCTTAGCTCAGTCTAGTCTGTGTTCTAGGTCAGCCTGCACAAGGCATCCAGGGAGCCCAGCCAGCAGAGGGAATGTGGATCCTGCACGCAAACACTCGGCGCTGTAGCCGTGAGCGAGTGTGGGATGCTGAGGTCTAGACTCCCTTCGATGCTTGTATGCTACTCCCAGGAATGCTAACAGGAGTTCCATGGATGCATCGAGCTGAGACTATACCATTGACACGACAGCATGGGCTGCTCTAGCTCTTACACTGACCACCTGATTGCTTTCTAAGCCATGACCACAGTAGGAACTTCAATAAAATACCTGACCCTCCACTGTGACCTGTTAGGACATCTACAGTAGATATTTTTGTCCCCGACGAGGGAGGAATGATGAGGAGGACTCCACTGATAACAGAAAGCTAATTGATTACTTTATTATACTATATTATTCTATATTATATTACGCTATATTACATTACATCTAAACTGGATCTACCAAGCACTCAACTCTGCACACAACTGCACAGAATCTCGTGACTCTCAGCCAACAGTCCCGACACACACACACACACACTTGGCCCTGATGGGCCAAGGAAACAAAACACCATCACTTTGAGTAAACAATCTCCATACTGCATTCTGCTTTGGCACAAAAACAGGCACAGCAAATGAGATAAGAATTGTTTCTTCTTTCTCTGAGGTTCCTCGCTGCGATTCCCAGAAAATATCCTTGGGAAGTTGTGCCTTGCTTTTCTCTGTGAGGAGAAATGCTGCCACAGACATCTTCATAATTTTCCTCTTTCCATTGTTTAAAGACCATTTTCCTCTCTAGAAACACAGTGATGACAGAAAAGAAGATTTGGTTTCAGATTGCTGGTTAAAAATGTTCATATAAAAAAGATTTTCCTGAGAAAATAGCGTTTGGTTTTTTTAATTTATTATTCAAAATGGAAGAGTTTGGTGGAAATACTGCATAGCAGCTACAGCCAGATGTACCAAGAGCTGAGTGTCTTGAGTGAGTAACTGCAAGAGAAACTTGAGTCTGACACAACTGGAGCTGAGACTCTCAAACCCTTTGCCCAAGCTTCTTGTTACTTTCTGATAGGAATGAAAAAACAATAAAGCAGACAAGAATCATGTAGTGTTGGGATGGAGATTTCCAGGAATCCTAGGGAGAACACTTTTTAATGCCCATTATACTCCAGTGTTGCCTAAAGAGTAGTGGGAATTTGAATTCCACCAAAGATCTTAATTTTTTCCATTCTGCTTGCAAGCTAAGTGTTTTCTGTACGATCAAAAATTACAATAGATGGTTACTTCAAATTCCCAGGTAGCTCTAATTTATTTTTTATGAAGTCATAATTTCCCAGCATAGTGGAAATTGGAAGGGACCTTTTTAGTTGCTAACTGGATGTAGAATCAGTGTGAAGATGCAATGTCACTGCAGCTATTTACAGAAGACATTGGAGAGCTGACAGCAAAATTCCAGTCACTTGATGAGATTATCCCAAACATTTTTTGATTCCACCATACATACATTTGAAATACACTGTAGGAAAGAGAATCATAGCAAAAGCTGCCTCTTCCAAATTGCTTTGCTCTTATTTAGTCTGTTTGTTTTGGGTCTTATTGTTCTGCCTCATTTTGGGAGTGTTAATTAAAAAGCCTTCCGTCGCAGTATGGTACAAGATAGAAATTTTTACTTCATGAATTTTGTAAATAGGAGTCAAAAATACAAAACTGTAAACTTTTGAGTCCTTAGTCTTTTCATCAAACTTCCCTAAATTTCAGAAAAGAAGAAGGAGAAATGTGATTATTCCAAGTAGTGCTTCATATTTGGTCCTTGAACTGTCTGTGGAAATGTTTAAATTAGATCATAGGTGCACTTTTAAAGCTGTCCTTACAGGTAGTCTAATTACCATTTATTAATCATTAACAGTGAGTACTTTTAAATTTAAGAGATAGTGCAGTTATTCTAACTGGAAGATCTCCATAAAGCATGCTGCCAAGCCATGACTGGGATAGTCTGCATTTTAATATTTACCATTGGTTTAGGATGATTTAAATTTTCCAGAATTATTAATATGTCCCACCCTTTGGAGCAACATGAGCATGTAAAGGGAATGGGAAGAGTCACGCTTAGTTTTGTGGTTTGGCACCCACAGTGACTAATTCTTGTTTTAATAATCTCAAAAGCATCCCAAATCCGTATGATTTTACTGCAAAAAAAGCCACCAAAGTGGAGAAGTTTTTCTAGAACTGTTTCTGTCCTTCCTCTCCCTGTAAAAGGCTGTGACATGTTCTTGTTAAACATTTGTACTTTGTAGAAAAAACAGCATTCAATAATATAAGAAAAATCAGAACAAATAAAAGGAGTAATAAACAAACAAACATTGATGAGCATTTTAAAGGCTGGTTGCACTTCCTCCCTACTGACACACATTGAAGCTGTAATGCCAGAAATTATTGATTGATGCAAACGCAAATATGTTCTAATTTGTATCTGGAGACGTTGATGATTCTTCCTTTGGTTTTCAGATGTTGCAGTTGCTGCACCATATGGTGGAGAGGACAAGAGAGGACTTGTGTATATCTACAATGGAGGAGCCAGTGGTTTGAATGCCATCCCATCCCAGGTCCTGGAAGGGCAGTGGGCCGCTCGCACTATGCCCCCCAGCTTTGGGTACTCACTGAAAGGAGCCACAGATGTGGACAAAAATGGATATCCAGGTCCTCTGCTCCAAGTGGCACTTTGCAATAACTCAGTAGCAGCCCCACCCTTGAGAAACAGCCTATTTCACAAAGCAAGTTGTAATGTGTGATGTGTCTCCTCTCTTTCTAGACTTGATTGTTGGAGCCTTTGGTGTTGACACAGCTGTCCTGTACAGGTAAGGGTCCCTCTGTGCTTGTACCTGAGTGAAAGCTCAGGGGAGTTCTGGAGCTACCAAAGAAAGCAGGATCAGGGAAGTCTGGAAATCTGGCACTCCACTGTCCAAACCTCTGGAGGTGAAAAAACACTATACTGCTTTTATTAATGAGTAAAGCTATCTGCTGCTTAAAATTCATTTTTCTCAATAATAGTAGTAAGGAGAAAACGTAAATAGGCTGTCTTCAAGGCTTTCTGAGTGACAGTTTTCTAGATTCTGACACAAGAGCTGCAAGCTATTGCACTGCAATCCCGATATTCTCATCCCAGCTTGCTCATTTTGGGAGAACATACTGGTCTGTGCTATAAGTAGATAGGACTTCCTCTTTACACAGTTGTCCATGTTGTGGCTGATGGAAATGAAAGGGCACAGAAAAGCTTCATCTAGTCAATGGTTACTTGTTTTTCTTGTGGTTGCACTAAATACTGTGTGTTTGTGTATATTGCACAGTTTGATGGGGGGGCATTGTCAAACATGGTGTTGAGTGCTCTTCAAGAGGATGTTTTCTTTGCAGGGCAAGACCAGTTATTAGAGTAAATGCTGCCCTGGAAGTTAATCCAACCATTCTAAACCCAGAAAACAAAGCCTGTTCACTGGGAGATGTAAAAGTTTCTTGGTAAGCAGAATATCTATGTTTCTCCTTGAGGGGAGGGACTTCTTGGGTTTTAATTTTGAAAGGTTTCAGGAAGTCTAGTCAGCTAATTAAAAAAATAAGAAGAAGACAAACACAGATGTTTCTGAAAGAACAGACAATACAAAATAAGAACTCTCTGACAGCAGTTGGTGGAGCAGCACTGTCTTCAGTAGATGTCAGGCTGAGTTCCAAACTTGCAGAGACTCCCAGGTGTCCCTGTTGAGCAGAGTAAGGTCTTCCCAAGAGGTCAGCACATCACATGGTGTTTGCAGTGTTTCACCCACTAACACACACGCTGGGGCAATGATCTGTTCTGTAAACTGCTTTTGCTTCTGGATCCCAGGACATCATCCCAACCCACTTTCCCTTCCTACTGCTGACTTTCTTTTCAGGGTCAGTATGATATCTTTAAAAATCAGACCCATTTGATTACAGAAATAAACATTCCAGTCCACTGGTGATTGTCCCTAGATGAATCAAGACTCCAAAGCTTTGCAGTGCCTGCAATTCTGCCTACTTGTTAATAGAGTATAGTTTCTCTTCCATCAGTAGAAAATAGCTTTTGGGAATGAGCTAGAGTCTCAAAAAGAGGCTACATCTGAACATAAATAAATGGTGAGGAATTTTAGAAGAAAATGAGAGAAAAAGTGTGTGAAATTATTTTTTTTTCCTCCCAAACAGCTTCAAAGTAAAGTTCTGCTTAAAGGCAGATGGCAAAGGAAAGCTCCCGAACTCACTCAGTAAGTTCTGCTCATTTAAAAATTGGAAGTCTTGTTGCACTGTTTGCAGAAAAGAGCACTGGTCATTGTCATTTTCATGACAAACAGCTGGATGCCCTTTGCAGCCACTGCTGCCACTTGGGTGGCACGTACATCTATGGGACTCTTCAGCAGGCTTTTTTGGCTGTAGTGGTGTAGAAGCCATTTAACCATATCTGAGACTTTAAACATATGTTCAGCTATGTGGTTAACCAGTCTTGGAAAGCCCTTTGTGTTTTACAGAATTTCCAGTAACTCTCATTGAGGGGAATTTCAGACAAGAATATTCAAGTATGTGCATTGCCAGGCCTGAGAGATACAGACAAGCCACAGGGAACTTGTCACATCCTGTTGAGATCATGACTTTCTGATTGATAGCAGTGACTTTTTTCACCAGATTCTCAGATCAGAATCAGGAAAAGATTGTTTCAAACCAGTGTTTAAGTTGTCTCCAGGAGATTTTTTAGTGTGGCAAGCAGACTGCTGCAATCAGGTTTTGTCTACTCATTGCAGATTCTTTTCCTTATTTTCTGTGGCACATACAGAGGTGGTGTGATTTTGGAAGGTTCATACGAATATCTGTTATGTATTATAAGTTTTATTGTCTATATCAGATATCTCAAGTAATTAGATTAGCCATAGTATTTAAAAATACAAATGCTATGTGCAAGATTGTTTTAAGTTTTCTAGGGGAAAAAATTCTAACTTTAGTTCTTGCAGTTCTACAGCAATTACAAATTACAAAAGTATCTGTGTTCTTAGATATTTCCAGTGTTTAAGGAAAAAGCAGAATCCAATTTAGGACAGCAGCAGTGCTTGAGAACTAATGTAGTGACAGATTTTACATGGAAGGAACTGGAGGTTTTAAGAGGGGCAAGCACTAGGTTTGTGTTGTAGTTGAAATGAGTGTCAGCTCAATTTCTGAGGGAATTCTGCAATGTGTTTAATGGAATGAAATATCCCTTACCCAAACCCTTTGGCTTGGCCAGATTTCCAGGTGGAGCTGCTGCTGGACAAGCTGAAGCAGAAAGGAGCTATCAGGAGAGCTCTGTTTCTGCACAGCAGACAGCCCAGCCACTCCAAGAACATGACAATTACAAAGGGGGGCAAAATGAACTGCGAGGAACTCGATGCCTTCTTGAGGGTAAGTAGCCATTCATGTTTTAGGCAAATAATTTTTGGTGCTTTGTGTGTTACAAGTTCGTTGTGTTAGGTTTAAACAAAAAAAGGCCAGAAAATATGCTAGAGAAATTTTGTTTTCAGTGGATGGACCTGAAATTACTAAAACTATACATCTGTCCTGAATTACTGCTGTCACAGCATGAATGATGAATCTTCTTGTGACTAAGGTCCTGGTTCTTAAATGCATTGGAAATTCAATTCAGAACTTTCTTCTGGACCTCTTGGATAAGTCATCCAGGCACCAAATTAGTTATAATTTCCAAGGAACATGAAAGTCCATAAGCAGAGGTTGTCCCCTCTACTTTAAAGATTAAAAATTGAAGAAAAATGTGGACCTGCAACTGACAAGCCAAAATAAGCAAATAGCAGAGGAGATGGAGAAAGTTGAAGTACTAAGCTTGCTTTTTCTCAGTCTTTCTGCATTCATCCCCACAAGTGTGAACAGATGCTAACACAATTTAAAAGTTTTAATCAGTAGAAGAAACATTGTGTGTAGCTATGTAAGTTCTATGCAGCTCAGATTTATCTCTGAGCACTGGTAAATCAAAAATTAACAATACTTGCTTCCTGCTAAAAAAACCCAAATAAAAATGCTTGCAGTCATTAGGGATTCACAGAGGGTAGGTAATACTTTCTTTGGCCTGATTTTTGTGAGTGGGTTATATACAGAATTAGACATCTCAGACCACAGGGTTAGTAAAGATTTAGCACGTTTCCACCTGATCTTTTAATAAAGAAAGTAATGACACATGACCTATGTGAAATGATCAAAAATGGGGTGTGAAACCAGTTTAAAACTATAGGTAATCAATAAGTTTCTGCCCATAGAAGACATCTTCTGAAATAAGATCCTGAAGTGAGCTGTGCTAGAGTCAGTAGTTTTCATTACTCTCAGAAATGAAGCAGAGTTTACACTGAGCAAATCTGTGGCAAATGTAAAGCTAAGAGATGGTTTGGAAGGCAAACCATCTCTTAGCTTCTCTGAAAGGCAGGATCAACATTTGATAAGCAGAATGATTTCAAATGAACAACATGAAAGTCAGCAACTTCCAAGTGCCAAGTAATAATTTCAGGAAGGAAAAATTGGAAGTCCAAAGATGTGTATCTGTGAGGGATCTTAGAAGCAGACTGAGGTTGGTCTGACAGGAAAGAGCAGAGCTGTGTAGCCTTTAGGCTCCTTGTTACTGGATTTCCATGACTTAATATTTCTGTATGCTCCAGTTTTCCATGTTTTAAACAGGCATGTTACTGCTAAAATTGTGCAGGTTTTCTGACAAGAGATTTTTCTGCTTTGAAAAGAGCTCGGAAGTTTTAATGTTTTGGCCTGTCGACTACATTTGAATTGTGATTGAAACTTTGGTTTCCTCAGGATGAATCTGAGTTCAGAGACAAGCTGACTCCCATTACTATTTTCATGGAATATCGTCTGGACTACAGGACAGCTGCAGATGCAACAGGATTGCACCCTATCCTCAACCAGTTCACTCCTGCTAACATGAGCAGACAGGTACACTGCTTACACAGCCTGGGATGAGAGAACTCAGAACACTGTTCATTTTAGGGAGAAAATCAGTTAGAGTACTCCTGGAAGTGTTAATATTGAAGGCTATCATCCATTCTCATACTGTGCTGCTCTATGGACATTATGTTTTGCCCTGTAGTTCTATCAAGGTAATATAAATAGTTTTTCTACTTCTGCCCTTTTTTACGAATTTTTACACTTGTTTGTAAAGAGCATTAATCCCTTAATATGAAGGGATTATTCAAACTATGGAAAGATGGTTAAAGTTAAGTCCTAGAACTGCAGTAGGGCAGGATAAGGCACAGTGTCCCCCACATATAAAAACTCATTTGTTCTCTTCTGAGACTAATGACATGAAAACATTTCATTACCAGCTATGTGGAATTATTTTTAATGTGCTGGTGAAGCAGTATTATTGAAAATGTATGTTAGAACAGATGAAGGAATTATTACAACAGTATGTGTTTGATTTTTCCATAGGCACATATCCTGCTGGATTGTGGGGATGATAATATCTGCAAACCAAAGCTGGAGGTGTCAGTAGAAAGGTAAATACCTGACAAAAAATGCAAGGAAAAGCAATTTCCCGACTTGAAGTCTAAAGATCAGTAGCTGGTAATACTTTTGTTTAAGGGATGTGTTGAAATAAGCAGGACCCTCATTGTGTGCAATCTGAACTCAGGCTTATATGCTTTAATGAAAACCTATTTTCTGCTTTGGAACCTAATGTCTTTACCATGCAATGCACTACTCCCACTCCCACCCCAGCCTCCACTCTAAGTAGGACATATTTATTTATTTATTTGCTAAGCTGGACGTGTATAGTGAGAATAAACCTCTGCTAGCTGCCATTGTATCTCTATTCTGTTGTTTAATATCAGATAGACATGTGAAAAAGTGGTTTTATCCAGCAAGGGGAGGAGTAGGGCTCTCTTGTCGCATGTATGAAAAAAAAAATTGTGTTGGTATTGGCAATGTCTTTTATCAAACCTGGAAAAAAGAAACAAGTTTTCAGTGGTAGTTTGTTAATGCTTCTGAGCTTTTTTTTTACTTTGTGTGGCCTAAAACCTCTCTTACTGTATTATCTCAATCTGTTTTTTAATGCCTTGTAGCCATAGGCACATAGTATGTAGGTAGGACACTTCACAAGCACTAATTCATGCCAACACCTCAGTAACATTTGACATCAGTGCAGATACCCTGATGCATGCTTGTAGTTGGTGAAATGAAAATACATCGTTTGCTAAGATAATCTCTTTGTGTCTGAACCAAAGGTATTGCACGGGTCTTGGCTCTATTTTGTGTAGCTGAGCCTTCCCTTGAGTTTTGTTATAAATATGTGCTTGTACCTCTGCAAAGTTGGCCTGTAATCCAAAATGTGCACAGGGATTTAGCTGCCCATCATGGTTTGTTCCTTGTGAGAAAAAGGTGTTTGTGGTTTTTTGTTTTGTGGTTTTACAGGCAAGATTCTTATAAAAGAACGTATACTTGCTCCATTTGTTATTATAGACACAGGGTTTTTTAAAAGTACCTTAGAGCTCTCCTGGCACTCCTGAAACAAAGGCACTGCCTCCAGATTTCTCCACTGTCTTTCTGAAATTTCAAATGTCTCCTGTTTCTCCAAGTCCAGCCACTTCCATGCAATCTGAAACCCGAATGCAGAACTCGCTTTCATTCTGTTTTCTTGCAGTGATCAGAAGCAGATCTACATCGGTGATGACAATCCCCTGACCCTGATTGTCAGTGCTCAGAACCAGGGGGAGGGAGCCTATGAAGCAGAACTCTTCGTCCTTGTTCCTCCCCAAGCAGATTTCATCGGGGTTGTTCGCAACAACGAGGTAAAATTCCAGCTGCTTTTGAGGAGTCGTATTTCAGCTGCTGCTCTGGAAATCTCTAGTGGCTTCTGTTATTTCAGTCTTAGGGCAAAGCCCTGAAAAAGTGATCAGTTTTTTCAAAGCCCCTCTTTTTTATAACCTTGAAAACAGGTCTGTCTTGTATCAAAAATATTTGTTTCCTTGGAGACTTCCATACTCAGATTATATTTCATTTTATTATGTGACTGAGAAATGATATTAAAATTAATACAGCATATCTAGGACTTCTCTCCAGACTTTCATCCAGGTGCTCAGATGTAAAGAATGACATTCCTTGGTGTTTCTTTCTGGTTTGTTGCAGGATTTGGCCAGACTGTCATGTGCTTTTAAAACAGAGAATCAGACTCGCATGGTAGTTTGTGACCTGGGCAATCCCATGAAAGCAGGGACTAAGGTAAGCTTTGGTCCAACAGGTGTCTGGTAGCTCACCCAGGGGGCAGGTGGCATTTTCCTTAATCACAGCAGTGTTTGGGCAGGAAGTTTTCTCCCAGGAATTTAAGATTAGACCTGGCATTTAGCTGCCCACGTTTGGTTAGTACAGAGGTAGTTGGTTTTAACTTTTCAGCTAAATTAAAGGCTGGAAGGAGTGTTCATGAGTTTTGTGATGCAAATCAAAAGGAGTCATTCATTAAATAGTGAAATTAATGGACTTTCATCCCTCATGAATTTTTTATATTTATCTGATATGTATTTTTTAGGATATAATCAAGAGCTAGCTCTCAACATTTCTCACTTAGTTCTCTTTTCTGCCTACTTTCACGAGGAAGGACAGAGTTTTGTCTAACTGAAACCTTTACAATTCCACCAAATGTAGCTGAAATTGGAAGAATTAAAAAAATTGTTAGTGTGGCAGATTTTAAGGTGATATGACATAGTAACTCTTATTTTCTGAGGAAATGAAGTGAAAATCAGTCACAATTATAAAAATTTCATTATGCTTTTCTTCCAAGAGCCATCTCATATAGACGAGTGAATGCTATTTCCAATGTCTTTTGGAGTGTATCAACCTGAACTGCACAGATGTTAAAGCAAATATGAGTTGACTTAGACCAAACCTTGAAATTAACTTTGTATATTTAATGTGTTCCCTGCTCTTTAGATTACAATATTTTTTGTAATGCCAGGGGTGGCTCAGTTATGTGTAGAAATGGCTGAAGTAAGGGTGGGGAGCACAATGCAATCCTTATTTTGTATTTTATGGCAGTGATGCCTTGGCTGTAATCTAAAGAGAGGGCAGTGCATTTCCAGCCTGGATGAACTGGACAACTTGAATTTGCCAGTTCTGTGTGTTCTCTCATCACCAGGAGTCTCAAGCAATTTCACTGTAGCCTAATGGCATTGAGAAGCTTTTATTGTGTGTTTTGTTGTGCTTCCAACTGAACCACAGTGGGTTTTTTTTTTTCTCCCAGCTCTTAGCTGGCCTGCGTTTCAGCGTGCACCAGCAGTCTGAGATGGACACCTCTGTCAAGTTTGACTTGCAAATCCGGAGGTATGGAAATCTCTGAGTGTCATTGTGTTTGAGGGTCCCCAGGATGAGGGAAGAGATGAGAATCTTGACTTCATGTTTCAGAAGGATTTATTATATTATGATATTATATTATATTGAAATGCTATACTAAAACTATACTAAAAAGAATATAGAGAATAGGATCCATCAGAAAGCTAGAAAGGACTGGAAAGGAATGAATAATAAAAAACTCATGACAGACAGAGTCTGACACAGTTGGACCATGATTGGTCATTAAGTAGAAACAACTCACATGGATCAATCAAAGATGCACCTGTTGCATTCCACAGCAGCAGATAGTTATTGTTTTTCTTTTCCTCTGAGGCTTCTCAGCCTCTCAGGAGAAAAAATTCTGGCAAAGGGATTTTCATAAAATATCGTGGTGACATCTGAGGATGAACCTTACCTGGGAGAGGACACACACAGTAAACAGAATGCAAACCACTCAGTATCACTCTGGCCTAATTCTCTTGTCTTTGCCTTGTAATGGCTTGAAAAATAACCATGCTGAGTTAGGTTTCCTAAAATACAGGAAAAATTAAGAGGATTTGTGCGTGCATATCGTTGTGCTCTGCTGACACTTGTGGTGCCACAGAATTACTTTGGGTTTATTGCCCTCTTTTAAAACTGGTGCTTGAACTCTGAATTCCTTCTGATGTAAAACCAGAACTTCATGTATTTAGAGGAGGAGAGTCTTTCAGGGCAGGCAGTGTATGGGGCAGTCAGAGCAGAAGCAACCTGCAGTGAACCATCAGCCAGCCTGAAAACTAAATGGAACAAAACAGTGTTCCTATTAATTATCAGATGAGCACTGTCATATAAATCTGATATATAAATCTGAATTTGTAACTTCTGGAGATGATATTTAAGGTTGGAAATGTGATCATTAGGAGTATCTTTACCAAATACAGTTTTATGTTGTTTTTAATGGACAGTACGAATACACCTGGTTTGTTTTTTCCCTGTGGTGGATCAAAACCATTTTTTTTTCCATTTAGGGCTTTATTTTTTTAATGTAGTAAATAAATTAATCTCATCCACATATGCATTTGTCATCTATGGGAATTAGGAAAGATTAAAGCTGCCGTTCTATTTTAATGATGGAGTGTTTTGCCATGCCAATCAAAGGCCTTGGCACATGAAATATCTCTTTGATCTCCCACTGCTGTGTGTTGGGTTTTCCCCTTCTCCATCAGCTGGTAAGGTGTGCCCGTGGCATGGGACTGTTCCCTGCAGAAAGTGATCTGCTCTGGGGTGTCTGTCACCTTCCTTAGGCTAGCAGCAGTCACAGCTGCTGTCACGGGGTCAGAAACAGTCAGGGAGGTTGCTCAAGTCATGCTTGTCTCCTGATGGAAGAGAAGGGAAGTTCCTGTCGTGTTTCAGGCCTTTTATGGAAGAAAATTCCTTCCATGGCTCGTGGGTGCAAGTGGTGCCATGGAGCACAGTAATCACAGTTCACAGTGACAGGCATCACCGGGGGATTATCTGGGACAGCTTTTAAGGATCACACTGCTTGTCTTAAACTCACAAAGCTACATCTCCAGTGCTGGCCCAGCTCCCAGCAGAGCAGGTCTAGTCTCTGAAAGAGTGAGGTATTTACAGGTCAGGAGGAGAGCACTGCTGCAGGTGATTGTTGATTACAGCAGCAGTGAAGAATGGTGAGAAGATTCAGGATTCTTTGTAAAGGAAAATGTTTGGTTAGGGGGAGAGAATAATGAGATGTGTCGAAGGAGATCAAGAGTCTGCTCCCAGCACACTTTGAGGGGGGAGTGTTCCCTGTATTTTCTTACAGGACAGCTGTAGAACAGAGTCAGCATTAACTCTGTGTCCTCCACCAACCTCTCCCTGCTGGGGCTCCCCCAGACTCTGCACAGGGTGAGGCTCCATGCGTTTAGGTGACAGCTTGCTGCACTCTGGTCCTTAGCTTTTTAGCAATTGTGCTTTCCTACAGGGGCTCAGGAGTCATCCTATGTTAAATACAGTTACTTTCAACTGTGGAGAGTTTTTTAATTAAACACTTTGCTTATTTCATTTAAGAATTTACCTTTTATTTTCCCTGCAGTTCCAACCTGTATGACAACCTGAGCCCAGTAGCATATTATCAGGCTGACCTTGCTATTTCAGCAGCTGTTGAAATTAGAGGGTAAGCAATACTATTTTAATAAACACTTTTAAGGAGCTCTGCACATTTGCTTCTTTATATTCACTGAACTTCCTTTCAGGTCTGCATAAGTTTTCAGGAAGGTTTAGGGAATTTTTAATCACAATATGTTTTTCTCTAGCCAGAGACTAAGAAAACTTTTTGGACTTTTGGGTCTTAAATAATTACAAAATTTATTCCAAAAAGGAATCCTGTGCCTCCATTACTAGAGATATTTTTTAGAAGAAGAAAAAAATCACCGCTCTTGTTTGTAGTTTTACATTTCTGCAGGTTACTTTTCTCCTTCACAAACTGACTGGGGTTTTATCTGAAAACCTCTGAAACCAAAGTTGCAGATTCTATAGAATTTAAGTTTGTAATGTCCTCACCTTCAGTCTGAAGCATAGTAGTAATATGTAATGACTTGGTTGCTCCATCACCTCTACTTCCCCCCTAAAAGTCCTCTTGCTTAACCAGTTAACTTGGATTCCTGAGTCATAATTTTTTTAATTTTCCACGACATTCATTATTGTGAGGAATTTGTTCAGTATCTGAGAGGTGGGGCATGGCACACTTGGAAAAGCATGATTGGTATCTTCACTGCTTTCAGGGCTGAATTACTCTTAGGACTGTACTGCTAAGGCTCTACAGCATCAATATTTCTCATTATCATAATATTTCACACTGGTTTTTTTTTGGATGACATGAGTGTCCTTTATCTTTTTTTAACGTAGAGAACAGAACTGAACATTTAATATTTAAACCACTTCTATTCTTTCAGGTCCTATGTAGAGGATGAGGAAGTGGAGATTGCATTTTAAGCATGTTGTTTTTTTTTCCTTTAGATATTCTAGAGAATCACATTTATTTTTTCATCCTTGCTAATAACAACTCCTTTGCTCTGCTGTTTAGTGTGTCGTCCCCTGATCACATATTCCTTCCTATTGCAAACTGGCAGCCAAAGGAGAATCCTGAAACAGAAGATGATATTGGGCCTCTAGTTCAGCACATCTATGAGGTGTGGAATTACTGCTGGTTTCTGTGACATGGTTCTATGATAAATGAAAATAAATCTTTTGGTGTAGCTTTACTCTGGAGTAAATTATGATTTTCTTTTTCTTTTGTCTTGTATGTAAGGAGAGATTTTATTTTTTTAATGCTGGGCCAATAACTGGTATATCTAAGAAAGGGTTGGAGTGCCTGCAATTAGTGTGACAGGGGTTGATTACCTACATAACTACACATATTTTATTTTATTGCCTTTTGAAATCTAGATGAAACATTTGCAGTAATGTGAGCTCAGGCAGTGGCTTAAGGCTGCTAATTATTGTACTCTATCTGTTCTGAATCACTACCCTGAAGCCTTTTGCTGTGAAAAAAATTAAGTATTTAAAATTTCCTTTAAAGAATTACCACATATTTAATCTAGATTGTGTAATTAAGCAAAACTTACCGAGAGAGTTGTGTGAATATTAATAGTTAAAAGTTTTACCACTTTTAGGTAAAGTTTTGATGCTGTGGCCATAAGTGGTTGGGGGCGGGGGTAGTGGCAGTATCACATTTGTGGCTCAAATATAAAGTAATAGTTATGTGCACATTAACAGAGAGAGTAGCATTATTTTTTTTACATCTGTAAATTTTATTTTCATAATCAGCTGAGAAACAATGGCCCAAGTGCATTCAGCAAGGTGATGATGACTCTGCAGTGGCCTTACAAATATAAAAACAACACGCTGCTGTACATTGTGCAGTATGAAATTGATGGTCCCATGAACTGCACTTCTGACATGGAAATCAACCCACTGAAAATTAAGGTAAGCAGGACTTTCCCTTTGAGTGGAATGAAGTGTGTCTGGTTGTTTTGTAAGTTCTCAAAATAGCCAAATCCCTGAGAATATGACAAACTGAGATAGTTTTTCATCTGTGGCTGACAAATAAGTCTACACTTTTCCACACTACCTGTCAGTGTATATAGCAGGTGAAATAAAAGGTAAACAGCAGCTGAAAATTGTCAACTCAAAGATCAATTTGTCTTGTTTCTTTTTATTGTGGGGTTTTTTTCTTTTTTTTTTTTTTTTTTAGCTTCAAGGCTGTATACGAGTTCTAAGTCCAAAGAAACAGAATTATAATGAATGTGGTCATGAGCTAAAACCAGATGCTCCTGGACTCTTTATGTAAATTTTCTGGGGTTTGTTTCTTGGAAGAAAATGGTATTATTTTTTTATATTACATTTTATCTATGTATCCAATTGGATAAAATTCTTCCAATTTGGGTGAATTTATCTATTGGTCTATCCAAAGGTCACAAAGGACAATAGGGGTTAGCTATCACTGCCACCAAAACATGGGATTTACAGAGCAGAAGAAACTTTTTTTTCCTGGGCTGGACTAGGCAAAGAAACACCAGATAAAACCCATCAAGTTGAATTGAGGAGTTGATTTCTAGGATAGTTTAGAACAAGCAATAAAAGTCAGTGTGTTAGTTCAAGAAGAAATCAGTATGTTAGTTCAAGAAGAAATCAGTATGTTAGTTCAAGAAAATGTCAGTATGTTAGTTCAAGAGCAAAAAAAGGACTGAGGGAAGATATTCAATGTATAGAACAACAAAGAATGCTTGTGTATCTTTGATAACCAAAAAGCAGCTTCAGTGAATATGTAAGTACAAAGTTCCTGTGCTTCTGCTCTATGACTTGCAGTGATTTATTTTCAGCCAGGGTCTGAAGAATAGCTAGGAGAGAAAGAGAGAAACTTGCAGTTAGGTATTTTCTTGTCCTTAAGCTTGAAGTCTGCAATATACTGAGTCATTGTTTGTGTTCCCTTGGTGTGTGCTAGATTTCTGCTTCCAAGGACGATGACAGGAATGAAACCCTTGGCAGGGAGGATCACCGTGAGCACCGCGTCAGCCGCAGGGATTTGCCTGCCGTGGAGGGGGACGTGCACACTCTGGTGAGCTCCCAGCACTGAGCTGCTGACACCACACCTGACAGTCCTTAAAAGCAAATGTGAGGAAGATTTTTTCCTCCCTAAACATGACTGGAAAAAAATCTCTACTAGGAAATTAACATATTACCATATCACTGTCTCTGTAACTGCAAGCTGTAAGTAATTATCCAATACTGGAGGTAATTCAATGTATTTTAATAGTTTATGGTGCTTTGCCAGTGTAGGTATATGGGTAAAGTAATGCCATTAAGGACTTTTCAAATATTTTCATACTTGGAACATCCTTCCTATTTTTATACACAGGGCTGTGGAACTGCTGACTGTTTAAAGATTGTCTGTCAGGTTGGCCACCTGGAGAGGGGAAAGAGTGCAATATTGTATTTAAAATCACGCCTTTGGACCCAAACTTTCATGAATGTAAGTGACTGGGAATATTCTGTCGCTGCTTCTGAAACAGTAAAAGTGATTTTTGAACCCACATGCAATACTAATTTTGTTTCTCTTACACAGAAAGAAAATCAGAATCATTCCTACTCTCTCAAATCATCTGCTTCCTTCAGTGTTATAGAGTTCCCTTATAAGAACCTTTCCTTTGAAGATATTCACAATTCTACAGTTGTAAGTCATTTGCATCCAGCCTGAGTTACCATATACAATCACATCAAAATCAGTGCAAAGAAAATTATTGTTGAATAACATTGTTATGGTTTGGTATAATTTTAATTTTATCAGCTATTTGTTTCATGTATTTATTTCAGTTGAGGGTAAAGCACATTCAGTTGAGGGTAAAACAGACTGAAGCTGACAATATTTGTGGCTTGAAAGACTTAATTGAAAATGAAAAAAATGATGGTGAACAGTCCTTGTGTTCCTGTTAATGCCATTGTTGTTAGAGAAATATTTTAGTTGAAATTTGTTTTCAACTGTAGTAGCACTTGCAGCTTGAATAATGAACTTTCATTGGATTATATAAAGCACTATATATGAACTTTATATATGTGAGGGTGGAGCAAAAAGACCTTCTGTGCCCCAGGGGGTTTCAAAGGGAAAGGAGACAGGGTGCAAAGAGAAAGGAAGATATAGGCCATTTGTTTGGACTGCCACATTGAGAGTTTTTGGTAAGCATTATAGGATTAAGAGATCTTAAGGAAAAGGCAGAAAATGATTGTGATTAACTCATTTTTGAATATGGTTTCTAAAGCCTATTATTAGCTGGGGCTTTTTTCTCTCAAGCCTTGTGGAGTTGATTTTTTGTTTCAAAGTATACTGAATATACACTAAAAAGAGATTCCTTTGAAAAAAAAAAAAAAAAGGAAAAGCCCTTACTTATCTTTCTCTAATTCCAAAATATTTCCACATTCCTACAGTTTTTTGAAAATCATCAAGAATTACAGAAGACATGTTGCCGTGTTATCACTGACTGCAAAAGGGCAAACCCAGGCAAAACAATCCCCAACCCCTTACTATAATTTAATTTTAAAATCCTATTAAATTTGGGTCAGTGAAGTCTTTATGTCACCAAGAATCTATGGCTTTTGATTCATTCTGGAGAGAAAAAGTAATTTATACTGGATTAAGATTATAATCATGATAGGATTACGGTATACAAGATTCAAACTGCATGGATGAACTCAGCATATCACTGCGGTGCAAAATGTGATTTATTGTGTTTTTCTATCAGGTTGCTACAAATATTACGTGGGGCATTCAGCCACAGCCCATGCCTGTGCCAGTGTGGGTTATCATTTTGGCCGTCCTAGCAGGGTTACTGCTCCTGGCTGTTCTAGTGTTTGTCATGTACAGGGTAAGTTCTGTGTCTGGGGGTTTTGTATCATTTGCTTTTCCCTACTAGTGATGTATTATTTCATACAGTACTAGCACTTTGCAGAAATGCCTTGATCATCTGAATCAGTTAAGTTTTTGATAGTGATGTATTATTTCATACAGTACTAGCACTTTGCAGAAATGCCCTTGCTCCCCTGATCATCCGAATCAGTTAAGTTTTTGGAATAACTGTAAAAGCTTTTCAGCTTTGTCAGGAAGAGGCTGAAAAAAAGAGCATGTCTGTGATGGTGCTGAACTCAGTTTAAGTTTTCAACTGATATTTACTGGAGGTCAAAACTGAGGGACGAGAGTGAAAAGACAGCTTAATCAGTTAAGATCTGATCATGAAGGAAAGAAAAAGGATGTGTGTATGTTTTGCAAGTCACAATGCAATTTCTTAATTGTTCTCTGAACCACAGATGGGCTTTTTCAAACGAGTGAGGCCACCTCAGGAAGAACAAGAAAGAGAGCAACTGCAACCGCATGAGAACGGGGAGGGAACATCAGAAGCCTAAGCAGAGTTTTATCTGTAAGACATTCTGAAATGTACACTTGCCTGCATCTTGGTTACAAATACTGGCTTCCCCCTCCATGAGCAAACCCTCACCACTGCAGAGCTGCTGGTCTCAGAAGGCTTCAGCACGTGCAAAACAAGGGCAAAACACTTCAACCTCCCTCCTGCATTAACCCCTTCCTGCCTGCCACTAACACATCCACACTGACCCCGAGGGACAAACTCCAGGGACAGCAGAGCTGGGATTCTGCTTGCTGGGACACAGGACGCATCATCTTCTCTGGTTCATGTACTGACTTGACTCTCCATGAATTGCTACGCAGATTCTGCATTTGCCCTTGGAGCCAACAGCCTCCGGAGGTGCTGGCTGGATTCTGTGGTTGGTTTTGGTTGGAGCACACTACATTTCATCGCCTAGCTCTTGAAAGTCAATTGCACAAAAAAAAAAAAAAGAATGTAGCTTGTTTTACAGTACTGAAGAATGTTCTTTACCCATTAGCTCTGATGATGATTTTTTTTTTCTCCTGCTCAAGAAATAGGAAATATTCAGTGGAATCGTTCACAGCTGACACCGGTTCCCCTGCCTGCTCAGTCATGTGTCTTGTGGTTTCTCTCTAGACCTTACAAATACTGTTCTCCATGTCCTGGGTCTCTTACTGTAGGGACTGAGCCTGCAAGCACCAAGTGAGGGATAGAAATCTGGGGCTGATGTATTTTCTGTGGGACTTGGGGAAAAGATTCAGGGCAAGATCCCAAGACTCTGCTGTGTATTTCCACAGTGCAGGATCCAGGTGTTCCACAGAGTTCTTGGCACCATGGATGCATTCATGCCCTGCCAGGGACAAGGTGCTGGGCTGTGGCTGCCAACAGGCGTGTCTGAGAAAACCCTTGATGTCCACAAGTCAAACCTATGCAGGGTTTGAGGTGAAGGCTGTAAATTAGTTGGATTGTATTTTGGTTTCTAGCAGAACCCTGGAGGGACGCTGTGTGACAGGTTACCTGGTGAAGCTGTTAATGCTCACTTTCCCGCTTGACCATGCCCAGGTGCAGGATGGAATGACACAGGGGCTGTTCAGACCAGTCTCTCTGCCAGCCACATCCATGGATCTGGATTACACCCGCACTTTAGCCACACTCACACCTCCCTCACCTCCTGCCCTCAGAAACAGGGAGTCAAATGAAGCAGGGAAGAGCTGGCAGTGCACAAGGGTTCAAAAAGTAAAGGTTGATTCAGCTTGTTTCACTTCACTCATTCATTGTTTCATTGGCTTGTCTAATTTGATTCATTCATTCTTTCAGGCCCTGCATGTTTCATTGCACAAGGCATTTCATTGCACAAGACATTTCATTATGTTCAATGCATTTCATTACCAGAAAAGACACTAAGAATCTTGATTCATTGCTGGTTTTTGAACATACCAAAAGGTCAGTGGTTTAAAGCCACACTTTTACATCACTCTCAGCTTATTTCCCTCACTGTTGGTGTAGTAAAAGGAAGTTGGTTGTTCAGCTTGCAACCACAAGCTGCACGGATTCTACAGAGGACATACCTGAACCATTACTGAGGTGCCTTCTATGAGATGTGTTTATTCTCTTTTCCAAGACTTCTACGTATTTTCTGTGGGACTTGGGGAAAAGATTCAGGGCAAGATCCCAAGACTCTGCTGTGTATTTCCACAGTGCAGGATCCAGGTGTTCCACAGAGTTCTTGGCACCATGGATGCATTCATGCCCTGCCAGGGACAAGGTGCTGGGCTGTGGCTGCCAACAGGCGTGTCTGAGAAAACCCTTGATGTCCACAAGTCAAACCTATGCAGGGTTTGAGGTGAAGGCTGTAAATTAGTTGGATTGTATTTTGGTTTCTAGCAGAACCCTGGAGGGACGCTGTGTGACAGGTTACCTGGTGAAGCTGTTAATGCTCACTTTCCCGCTTGACCATGCCCAGGTGCAGGATGGAATGACACAGGGGCTGTTCAGACCAGTCTCTCTGCCAGCCACATCCATGGATCTGGATTACACCCGCACTTTAGCCACACTCACACCTCCCTCACCTCCTGCCCTCAGAAACAGGGAGTCAAATGAAGCAGGGAAGAGCTGGCAGTGCACAAGGGTTCAAAAAGTAAAGGTTGATTCAGCTTGTTTCACTTCACTCATTCATTGTTTCATTGGCTTGTCTAATTTGATTCATTCATTGTTTCAGGCCCTGCATGTTTCATTGCACAAGGCATTTCATTGCACAAGACATTTCATTATGTTCAATGCATTTCATTACCAGAAAAGACACTAAGAATCTTGATTCATTGCTGGTTTTTGAACATACCAAAAGGTCAGTGGTTTAAAGCCACACTTTTACATCACTCTCAGCTTATTTCCCTCACTGTTGGTGTAGTAAAAGGAAGCTTCTTACACTGATTGAGAGAAGAGCATTGTCTATGCATTTCAGTGGACAAGGAACTGCAGAGCAGGAGGTTGTTCAGCTTGCAACCACAAGCTGCACGGATTCTACAGAGGACATACCTGAACCATTACTGAGGTGCCTTCTATGAGATGTGTTTATTCTCTTTTCCAAGACTTCTACTGTACTTACACCAGTGAGATTTCTATGTAGACAAGTTCTTGAAAGGGCAAAAGCTCTGGTTTGGTTTTGTACCTTGGGGTTTTTGTCCACAGCTGCATCTCCCCCATAAATACAGCAGTACCCACTAAACCCAGAATTTTCTGAAATGGGCAGTTTGTTTCAACTCTGATTTCTGCACCCTTTCAGAGGTTTAAAATCCACCAATGGCTTTTGTTGTTAAGTCCATTCTTACTCGCTGATCCGTGATGGCATCTGAGTCCTTCAGGGAGAGAGCACTGAGGCTGGGGGGCCAGTATGTTCGCCAGATATAGGCTTGCATATTTATCCATTTACATGGGTTGGATTTAGACTGTTTGTTTAGATAAAATTAGTTTACACAAAAGGGTATAGGGCTATGATTCCGCTTTCACTGAACTTTCGAGGTCTTCAGTGTGGCCAATGTTTGCTTTTGTCCTTATTTTTAGTATTGTTGCTAGTAATGTAGTAGAGAATCAGGAGTCAGGCTTTGATCCTGGCCTCAAAATGTGACTTTGGTAGAGCAGCATTTTCAGTTACTTACACGGGCTTGTGGTTCTCACGCTGTGCCAGCTGATTATCTGTGTGCAAGGAGATTGGTTTTACTCAGCCTTAATCTCAGTAGGGTAAGAGGTTTAAGAGACTGCCAGACAGATTATAGCTCTAATTCCTACGTGTGTGCTTTCATTACATGTACACTCCGTGGTGACTTGAAATTTATTAGACTACTTGCATGTGTAGGCTTTGTTAGGAGGTGAAAAAGAGTATTTTAAAAAAAAAAGCATGGTCAAGATCCCTCCTGCTCACAGGGATGGGATACCATAGCATTGCTAATGTCTGTGCTAACCGCATCCTAATTTTACTGGAAACTCTTTCTGCTGATTTTCAGGATAAGAAGGTACATTTTATTGGTACAACTACTGTAGCTATAGAAAGTATCTTCCATTTTTGAAGTTACATAAAGTAAGACTTATTTAAGTGATTTTTATTTCTTGCCTTCTGCTGGAGAATGAGAACAAATAGTTGCTTCTTCCATGTCCATTAATTTCCAGTTAGATTAAAAGACCACTGCATATGTAAATGGAGTATACAGGTTACTTAGTGAGCATAGATGTAACACCTCAAATTCAATTTAAAGTAGCATTTGTGTTTCAGGGAGATTCCAAATTGGAAATTTTCCTGAATGGGGGTGCAGGAAACTTTTGATAGTGTGTTCTAGATTCAGCAATAAGATTCCAGATTATGTATGTACTTGTGTCAATATAAATTTTATACTGACTTAACAGGCATTGATGTATTCTTGCAGCAAGTACTGTAGAATGATGTCAAAGCTTTTAGAGAAACTTTAGAAAAGGTATTTTAGAATGAAATTAATGCCCTTGAGTCAAAATTGGTATGCACATGGTGCATACTGGAAGCATTTAAAAAATACAAGTACAGTAACAGAGAATTAGCCCTCTTTTGAGAGCTATGTTTCAGGAGCAGACTTTTTATGAATATAAAATCAAGAGCTATGTAATTATTTAGACAAAAAAAAAAAACATTTTTAAAGAGCTATATCTTTTATAATGAAATATGAAATTATGTAAGTGCTCCAGTTTGCAATTAATGCAGCATCTCATGATCAATATTGAAAAGTGATTTATATTACAGACTGCATATTATCTATTACTATGTTTGACAATATTTAGAAAATGTAAAGCAAGGAACCTAATTTATAGGTTTACATTTCTTTCAAGAAACTATGAAATTGTGGAAATAGCTTTTGTTTAAGCATGACTGTAAAGTCAAATACGGGCTATATTTATCAATGTAATTTGAAATCTTTGATTAAGTTTGCTGACATTGCTTGCCAAGTTATCAGGGTTTTTTCTGTTTTAAATCTTGATCTACACATTGATCTCCAATTCTCATAATGCTTGTGGAAACTTTCTGAAATTTACTACGTGTGCTCTTTCTTTATAAAACACTTATTCCAAGCAAAGGTATTAAATATTTAGTTGTTTCTAAACTTGAGTCCATGCTTAAATAGTCTTAAAGGGTATTTTGAAAATGTTTCAGCTATAATCAGCATGTACTTGGTGAAGGAATGATGCTGCACTTAGATTTTTGCAGCATTTGGGTTTGTTGTTGGTTACCCTGACAGAGCCCTGCAGTATTTTTTTCCTACACCCTCCCAGACAGTCTCAGAGCAGCATTACCCTGGTAAAAACCAGTTTTTGTCTTTGGTCCAGACTAACGTGGTCCTTTGAACGTGATTCTTTTGTGTCCAACGCTGCTGGCTGTTAATGAGTTGGGGAAAAAAAAGTATTTTATTACAGAAAAACAGGAATCCAAAAAATAAAAAAGGTGATGGCAGGGCCCAGATGAGACGATTTTGGTTGGTTTCTGAGGTGTGCCGAGCTGTGAGTGCCCCGTTGGCGTGGCCCCTGTCCCAGCCCGATGCCACAGCTGGGATCAGGGTTATTGCTGAGCTCTGCTGACTCCTGTGGGAGCTGAACTCCTTGGTACTGAGTCTTTAGCCTCCAGCCCCAGGTGCAATATGCCATGGTCTGAGCTGGTTCCCTGCCAAGTCCTCTCTCTGCCCGGTTTTGCTGGCCTGAGAAGGGCCGTGGTGTTTTTGTTTTTGCGTGAGGACATGACAGAGCCAGCGTGCTCGCTGGAGGTGATGAGTTAATGCTATTGCAAGTCTTTGATCACCCACATTGGGTGAAGCTTGCTGTATATTCTAAAGTCTATCCACTACTAACTCCTGAGTTCTCCAGAACTGGTACCACCTTCTTTAAGCCCATTGTGGAAAATTTGACTGGAGACTATAGAATACTGGGGTTGAGTCTGTAGTACTACTGCTGTTTCATGTGATTGTGGTATTTAGGTCTATTTTTAATTCCCAATGTGTAGAATTTTAACATAGCACAGGAAATCTAACCTTTCATGCAATGAACTTCTCCAGATGTGCTGCATTAAAGGTGAATAACTCGACCCTTGGCTTTTGCAAAGTAATGGAAGATTTCATGCAGCATTTGCATCTTAAAAAATCCTTGTGCAGGTTTTGCTTTTCTAGTCCATGAAGGAAACCTGTATTTGCTATGACACAAATATGCTGAAAATGTAACATTTTATTTCTTCATAATGGATTTTTTTTGCCTTTTTCTTGTGTTTGCTCGTGCAGTAAATCAGTAGAGCATTATTTGCACAAGCAGAAAATTAACATACTAACGAGAGTGCTGCGATTCATGTTTCTTTGTCATGCAGTAAATACTTGCAGCATAAATGGGAATATTTTCAGTTACCATGAACTTGTTTCAAAGGTCTTCGGTACATTTAAGGAGAGCAATATACATTTGAAGTCACCTTATTTTGTATTAAATTATAAATTGTGCAGAGAAGTGGGTATTGTGGCACAGTAATTTTGTACTGATATGAAATATATAGCTATTATAGCTATGTTTGCTTTTTAACTCATTCTTTTCATCCTAATGCAAATTTGAGTGTTTTTATTAGGTTGTATTTTTCTATGTATATATACAATTTCAAAATACTATGATTGGGTAAACCGAAAAATGTAATTATTGATTTGATTCTGATATTTAGAATTTTGGAATAAAATACCTCTTAATCAACAGAAATTCTGCTGTAGGCTTGTTTTTGGTTTTTTGGTTTTGGTTTTTTTTTTTTTCCCCTTAGGTGTATTTCTTAAAATGCATTTAATTCACCAGAAAATATTTCATAGTATATGTTTGTACTCCACAATTATGTGCTAAGTTCAAAAACCTTACATTTACACAGCTTTTATGTCTGCACCTCAAGTGGCACCTTGAGTCAAAAAATCTTGTAATTACAAGCAAGAAAAATGATCTAGTCACAGACTATATTCTATCACCACAAATCCGATTTCCAACAGAAATTTCTACATACCAGAAATAAATATTTTAGACTTTATAGGTGCCAAATTCCTGTTGAAAATGCTGACATCTTGTCCTCAGGTCAGGAAAATTCTCAGGGAGCTGGAGTTTTT